GGTGGTTGGGGGCTTAGGGGAGAGGGGTGGAGGGATAGAAATAAACAAACGTAAAAGAAGAAAATGAATGCGATAATATTAAACTCGTTTGACAAAAATTGGCACAATGATATTATTAATGATAATAGGATGATGAAGAAAAAATAAAAATAATAAAAAAATCGTGGAGGTCGTCTCTAACTAATAACACATCCTTTTTTTATATAGAAAAAAAAAAATAAATTCCCTTTTTTTAAAATTATATATACGAGAGGCAAAATGTGTAAGAAAAAAAAAAGGAAATGTTTCAAGAGTATCCACCAAAATGATTTCGTAATTCGTGCGTAGTGAGCCGGTTTTAAGGATAATCGAGAACTACTTTAAAAAAATGAAAATAAAATAATAGTAAAGACAAAATTTACGAAAAAAAATATAAAATAAATGGGGGGACTTGGAAGGAGATATAATAGAGTGCAGAAAATTTAATTTAAACGAAATGTGATTCGTTTAATAAAAATTCATTTTACGTGTTTCGTTCAATCCTCGTTTAGTCCGGCTCGTTCGCCCGTTCGTCTGTACTTTTTATTATTTTTCATTTAATAATTCAATAATTTCGCAAATGAAATATAGGAAAGAAGAAAGGAAAGAAGAAAGGAAGGAAGGAAGGAAGTAAAGAAAGAAGGAAGAGGAAGAACGAATAAATGGAAAGAAAATGACAGGAGGGATGAGAAGTTGAGAAAACAAAAAGAAAAAAGAATTTGTAAATATGATAATAATTGCGATCATTGTGTAAATATACTCTTTCAATGAAAAACACATACACACACACACACACGTGAGGAAGCCACGTAAAATACTCTAATACACACACTCATACTCGCATCTTACACGTACCTAAAAAAAAAAAAGAAAAGAAAAGAAATACATACACACATATGAGCACGCATGTGCAGCACGTTGTTGTACGTGTTCGTGTTCATTGCGCAAGGTTTATTTTATAAGAACTACATTATTACACACATCACACAACACCTCCCCCCCTACACACACATACACACACATATATATATATATATATATACATATTACCGTGTAATGATATTTAACAATAAGGTACATATATTCTATACTCTTACACGCTAAGTACTCAATAAATATATCTATAAAATTTCCTAGTGTTTGTGAATGTCTAAACCTAAACCTAATCCTAATTATCCCATCGTTTCGTGACGTCTTGAGCTACTACTCCTAACCCTTCACTTTCAACCCTTAACCCTTTCCCCGTTAATCGAGCAAAAATATTTCTATTTATTCACACACAAAAAAAAAAAGGAAAAAGAAATAAATCCATTATAATTATTGGAATTACCAGAAAAGTTCGTGCCAATAATATTTGTAAAGAAAATTCAAATGGAAAAAATATAATAAATCGCGAATTAATAAATTTCGCAAATTGGCAGAGAATTTTTCTGGCAAGCCAATACTTTTGTAAATTAATTCGTCGGATCCGTCGTAAGGTCTTTTATAAATATATATTGTTCCTAAATGTTATCATAATATTACTCGTTTGAAACTACCATCACACCACCCCTTCTAATTATATCTCTTCTCTCTCACACACATACACACATATCTAAAAAATAATTATTTTCTCTTACTCTCCCCCACAGACACACATTTTGCTATATAAATTATATTTTTCTTCTCCTTGAATATTGAAAAAAAAAAATATATTAATTATACAAAATGGAACATTAGATTAAGCGTGTATAAAAAAAAATAGAAGAAAAAAAAAAAGAATGAAAAGATATAATACGCGAGTGGAGATAAATTAAAGAAATAAAAATAATAAATATAATAAAACTTTGAAATGAAAGCGTCCTTAGAACGGATCCGTCGCAAATCTGATTAAAAAAAAAAAAAAAAAAAACGAAAAAGTACCTACAAGAACGCGACGATGTGATGATGAAAGTTGTTTTTTCTAACGAACTACTATTTGAAAGGAAAAATAATTAAAAAGTCTTTTAGTAACATTAAACGACAAGTTGTTATCATTACTTTCACACTCTCTCACATTATTTATCTATTTCTATTTATTTATTTATTTAAAAATTATTTAAAAAATCTCTACACAAATAACTTTCTGAATACGTTCAAGAAAATAATTTTTCGACGTCTCAGGTACCGCAATCCTTATTATATTTTCTATTATCAGTCTTACATCATTCATACTTGTGTATATATGCATGCACATGAGGTGTTCCATAGGGGAGGTTTTTGCTAAAATTCATAAACTTCTTGTTATTGTGATTAAAATAATTCAATAAAGAATTTAGATAAATTTGTATAATGTAAATTAAAATCTATTGGTAACATTTAACAACAATAAGTAAATGGTATCTTTAATAATCAGAATAATAATAATACAGAAATATTACGCTTTTAATATAATTCCTATATGTGATTCGTATAAATTATTGAATTGCCAAAACACAGTCTCCCTAAACTGAATTTTAAATTTATAACATAATATAAATAATAAACTATTTTTTTTTTTTTTTTTTTTTACTAGATCATCATATAATAATTCTAAAAAAAAAAACAATTTTCCTATCGATTATTAAAATTTAGAATTTTGTTTTATCGCGATAATTCGAAAAAAAAAATACATTTCGTCGGCCATTTTACAAAGATTTCTCAAATAATATACGTCGTACAACCATTGATAACAATTTTGTTTTAATTTAATAACGTAAAATTACATATTCCGAATTCGTGTTTGTATTAATAATTATTTTTCTTCTCTTTCTTTCTTTTTTTTTTATTATTATTATTATTATTATTATTTCAATTATAGAAACATGTTTGTGAAATTTAGAAAAAAAATCTCCTGGAACAACGGCCCGTACATACATACATCTCACACGTATTGGTATGTTTATTACAAAATTTATAGAGTATACATTTGTTTGTACATTTAACAGATCATTGAACGACCGCTTTAACCTTAGTTACGTTGCTTGCTATCGGCGGATGACTCGCTCCTCCCAATGGTCTGTAAAAAACGATGAAAAAGATAACAAAAATTTATCACCAATTATTTCTTTATTTTTTTAAATCGGATTCAACGAATAAAATATTTTTTATTATCCAAGAGTGTGTTCCAAAGACAAAAGAAAAAATAAATAAAATAAAAAAAAAAAAACATAAAAACAATCGCAACGTAAACGTAAAAGTCTAAAATAATTGGCAAAGTATAATCCTAATTAAGTTTGAAAAAAAAAATTTTTTAAATAAATTAAATTATAACAAATAAAATAAAAAAACTTCGAGATAATTTAAGAAAAAACGTAAAAAGAAAAAATGAGGGGATTTTTTTTCTTTATTTTTTGTTTTTAATTTTTTGTTTTTCTTTTAGGATTAATACTGCACAATAAATATTCTGCTTTTGTACATAACTTTTATTACGAAGTAATTTGCTTTGGACAAGTCTTTTTCCATTTATTACAATTTTCTTTTTTCTTTTCTTTTCTTTTTTTTCTTTTTCGTTTAAACCCTTCTCAACTTATTTACAGTCAATATATTATTATATCCTGTTAATTGTTGTGAGAAAAAAGACAGATGGAAGAAACACTTGTTTGTCGCGCTTAAATCGTATTTTTTTTTTTCTCATTTTTAAATCATACCCAAATGATATATATATATATATATATATATATATATATACATATTACCGTGTAATGATATTTAACAATAAGGTACATATATTCTATACTCTTACACGCTAAGTACTCAATAAANTTATATTATATTTTTTCATCCTATAATAATATCTACAATCGTACCGGTGATCCTATTATTATTGTTTTTTGTTTTGTTTTCAGAAAAATCTAAATGTAATCGTTATTTGACGAATAATACTTAAATTTCCCACGAAAAGTAAATAAGTACGATGGTGAAAGATTAAAAAATAAATAACAAATGTGCTGATACGTTTAAGTAAGTAATCGATGCACCGATTTCGTATAATCAAAACGTCAGTATAATTTACGTTCAATCAATACAAAATTTCGACTAAGTATACAATCATCGCATATTTGCATTATTCATTATATGTAATAGTAATATGTAGTCGAAATAAGATGAAGAAGTGAAAAAACTGCTAAATTGTGCAATAAGTGTAACAGATTTATCGGTGCAAGATTAACTATGAAAACGATCATCATTGAATTGCACTACTTAGAAATATAATTCTGCTAATTGAAACGATCGATATTCATTTAAATTGTAAAGATAAATGAGAACTATTTTCTAAATCTTTAAATAATTAATATCTGGTTTTTTTTTCTTTTTTTTTGGAGAGAAAAAGTATCACACACATTCGTTAATCATAACATCGAAAAAATTTGATTAAAATTTTAAATAATCTCATAAGAACAACAGCAGCGCACATTTATATTTGTATTTAACCGATATGGTAAGTATTTATATATTTATATATATATGTAATCTAAATCAAAACTAGATAATTATTATTATTATTGTTATTATTATTATTATTATTATATAGTTTGCAAGGAGTAATAATTTATAAGCGTTAAACATTTATTTCTGTTATCATTAGAATCCTCGCAAACTATTTGGAACATGAAAAAGTATAAGGAGCACCGCGTGTACTTTTATCGAGGAATGTGTATTTAATTGCTAATAAAATACCGCTTTTGAAATATATGTAAATGGGATCGACGAAGTACCACGTGCGCAGGCAAATTTTATAAAAATATTATCGATACCTCTAGACATTATGGTTCTGTCTTTTTTTTTTTTTATTCAAGTATTGCGTTACGCTCTGTTTCCAAGATTTTAGAAATATCCTGTCTAGAAATATATATGTGAAACGACTAGAAATTTATCTAACTTCGTGTATTTCTATAAAATACCATATTGTTATTTAAGAAAATTTTTTTTCCCAAGAAGTTGCATAAAAAATTTAAATATAAAATTTAAATATAAAATTTTATATATTATTTTTTAATTTTTCATTAGCGTCTAAATTTGGTATACTAGTTTAATTATATTTTTCTTTTTTTTAAAGTGCTAAAAAGAATAAGATATTTATAACAAAGCACCTCAGAGTTCTTTCTCCATTCCTGAATACAGGCGTTGACATTTAACGCAATGTACGTACAGATATATGTATATATAATACATAGTCAAAGGTATATATACAATATACATATACGAAAATGTATATATGTAAATATACGAATAAGTTTAATACTATAATGTCACCAATGTGTGTGGTGATCGTTTAAACAGGACATTCGTATATCCTTAGCAAAATGTAGATGTTCCAATAACAAATATAATAATAAATAACTGCATACACAAATATAAAAGCACGTTCATATTCTAAATCAGCCATACTCAACCACTTGTTTTCTTGAACCACATATAATTTGTTCACTACATTAAGTGGACCACAACATTGGTGTCATGTAAAACAAGACCTTATTGAAAAAAAAAAAAAAAAAAAGAAAAACGCCTAAAAATCTGAATTCTTCATTCATACGTGCCACAGGTTGTTATGTTATAAAATAGTACTACCACATTTGTTCTGGCAGAGCGAATTGCCTGGAAAGTGCAGGCAACTATATAATTGTCGTCTGTGTCTATTTAATCGTCAATGAATTGTTGCCACTATTCCAGGATTATTTACTTTTACGTAAATAAATTTAAATTCTTGACTGTGCGTCTTGAGCTGCACATTAAATCTTGGCAGGCCACAGGTTGAGTATGACTATTCTCTAAATCCTCAAATAATGATTTTCTTTTATTGTAGTACTCCTTTTTGGAGTATAACCAATTCGACTCAATTATGACTTTACTTACTCGAGGCCCAAAGCCCAATTGATACCTTGCACTAGGAACAGAATTAGTGGTTGCCATCCAACCAACCACCTTATCGAATCCAATAATTGACCATACAATACATGTGGTCGTTCCCATCTTTAAACATCATTAAGGTTGTTATGGCATATATATAACATAATAGATATAGTAGAATATAAAAGAAATTTTATGTAAAAGGATACGGATTGCGGAACATTTTTTTCAGATCTACTTTTTCCTTGCAGTAAGGACATGTCTGCTTTTTCCCTACAATGCACCAACCTCTAATACAAAACTCATGAAAGACATGTTCACAGCTGAGTTTGTACGTGTTTTCAATAACACCTTCTTCGTGTTCAGAAACTAATAATCTGTTCCCACATACTGCGCATACTCCTGGCTCCAAAGTCCTTGTTGGCATACTGCCTGGAGTATAATACTGTAAATTATATTAATTTTTATAAGCGTCATTAGAAAGTCACCATTTAATTCAAGTGACTACTCACCCCAACGTGTGAAGCCATTTTATCGGCACATATTTCAGCAACATCTCTTCCTAAAACCCCAAAATAAAGGCCATAAAATAAGAAAAGTACTCCATAATCAATCCAAACTGCTGGCTTCGCATCAAATACAATATTTAAACCAAAAAATGTTGCTAACATTATAACATATCCAATTAAACCCAAAACGTAACTAAGCTTATAAACGAAGTAAAACCATTTATACACTAATCTGTAAAAAAAAAAATAAAAATATTGTTAATTTATCATTCAATTATTCTGTGTGTAAATATAATAAAACTAAATTTATTATTTGAAAACACGTACCTAGGAGTTGTACCTTGTATCGGTTTCTGAATTGCTTTTCTTACTACGAGTCCTGTTATACATGATGATACTAACCAGAGAAAAATAAATCTCCACCAGCGATTAATAAGACTTAAACCAAACGGGACTAGCCACATAACTATCAACGTTATTAACTAAACAAAAATAACAAATATGCATTCATTTTTATTGTGTCAAGGATATCAAAACTATGTCTAATATTATTAAGACGTACGTTTATTTTACCTGATATGATTTAAAATGTCTCTTTTTCCATTCAATTAAAGTAAATTGTGTTATCATTAATGTTCCTAGTAATATTAGTACCATTTCTGCATGCATCGATTCATGACCTTGATGCTGCTTGTGCAGCTTTATATGATCCGCTCTATAAAAGGTTATTTAATTACTCAGACTAAATATCTTTATTATAGATAGTAAATAAACAAAGCAAACTAAAAAATTATTTATTATAATCAATAATATATTTATATTATTAATAATAATTTACCTCCATTTTTCTTCTGGAGTCATATCCGCTTCGCTCTAAACAAATAAATTTATTAGAAAATATTACAATTTCATGCATATATATTATTAATTGAATTTTAAATTTTTTAAATAAATTAATTGCACGCGTATAAATTTTATTTCCACTAGGAAATAAAATATAATAACAACAACAATGTACATTTTGTCTCTCATGCGCTTTAAGAGGTTAGATTTCTTGTCTTAATATGTTTAAATTTAAATCATTATTTTTAACTTATTGCAATGTGAATTTAATGCAAAAATGTATACATACTTTATTTGGCATTATATGGATATCCATCTTTAATAATATTTTCACTTAACAATGGAAAAATAGATTTCAACGAACTGACATAATGCACTCGACGCTGTGTAACACATGTTAAGGTGCAGTTCACACTGTGACGTGGAGACTAACTCATAATAAAAAAATAATCATTAATTATTTTGATTTAGGTATCTATTATATTTTAAATAAATATTTGCACACTAAAATAATTAAAGATCGAATAACATATTATTTATTATATTTATTTAAATATATACAAATTTTTTGAATGATATTTCATTATTCTTACAAATTTTAAATGTATACATTTAAATGACTAATGTTGTATCTTAAATTCCCACCTTAAAGAAGGACAGCCATATTTTTTTTTTGACTTTATGAGAAAGTAAATTGTATTATAATTAATAAAACTTACATATAATATTAATTTTTAATAATAATTTTAATAATAAATTTGTGAACGAAGATTGTTATACAAGTTGTGTAAACTTTCTTTTTTATAATTATTAAAGTAAAACAATTAATAAAAAATGAGAAATCATTTAAATCATTTGTTATGAATTAAACGTGATTAAATTTTTTAACAATTCTTATCTAATGAAATATTATTTAAAGTGCACAAATATTGTACATATATGTAACAGAATATACATTTATGATAATATTGAATATATTTCTTTCTTATATAATATCAGTAAAAAACATTAAAAGATTATAATAAAAGTTGCTATTATATTGAGAATTTTCAAATAAGACTTGTAACAACAGCTAATATAATAAGCATCGTAAAATTAAAATATACATAATAATTAATTAAGAATCATCGTGCAATAAAAAACTTTTCTATTAGATATTCATTGGCAGATATTTTGAAATATCGCGCCGTATGAAAAATCAAGCCGGCGTAGTTACGCGTCGGTAACGAAGATGGCGCGTTGATCTCGAACTCATTCGTATTTCTTCGTAGATGTTCGGTTTTTGACGGTGGTTAAACCACGCCCATCGGTGGAGATCAGAGAGGGAAGCTGGTAACTCATTTCGTGAAGGAGCGACATGAGCGCTTGTACCGTTTATTGAGTGAGAAGGCGCGACGTAAAGAGACGGATTCCATTGCTGTAAAATACGCGCGAGAGATAAGTGTCAGCCGGTGTGTTTCAAGAGTTCGGGAGTTTAGTGTTAAAGTGTGCCTGAAGTAGTGCGTGATTGGTTTCCTTCTGGACACGTGGTTTACAATTTTAGATTAAGTTTAGGAAGACGCTTAGGAAGAATATCAACCTAAGAAGAAAAAGAATAAGAAGAAGAAGAAGAAGAAGTAGTAGAAGAAGAAGAAGAAGAAGAGGTAGTAGAAAAGGAAGAAGAAAAAGGATCATCACCAGCCTCGAGGAATTACTTTCAGTAAGTAAGAAATATACAGACAACAACAAAAAATCTAACAATTATTATTGGTTATTATTTATGTCTTAAATATTCTAATAATTCTTACGTTATAATGCACATATGTACGCATCTTCAATTACTTACGTTACAACTTTTAACTAGCACGGATAAATTAAACATAATTTTTAAAATCCTACTACCATACGCATCGATGCGTGTATACAACAAACTACTCTACGTAGAGAAACATACGACACGTATCCGTGACGAATCACGGATCAAATTACATTTATTTCCTTTTAAAGATATATTACTTTCCTCTCTCTTAGATACACGCCTACAGTTTTTAACGATTTAAATAAATACAAATTTTATTTAATCTAACGATATTATCCTTTAGTTATATTATTTTCAATTTATTCGACGCGTTAATTTTTTAGTATTTTTTTTTTTTTCGAATCTGTTTACGTAAATCCCTCTGTGTTTCTCGAATCGACTGAGGTTAGCTGTGATTACGTATGAATACGACGCGCAACGATGTTCACGTATGTAAGAAATTCAAAAAAAAAAAAAAACAAAAAAAAAAACACATCATTTTCGCGGGTTAAATTTCAACAATTTTATTTTTGACATACAACACACAACAACGCTATGTTTATTATTATTATTATTATTTCTTTATTTCTCGTGTTTCTATGATTGGAAAAAGTATGTTACTTTCTTATTCATTTTGGTGATTGGTAGTTTTGATTAGATAAAATTTGACAACAAGAAGAAAAAATCTTCTTTTTTAAATAGAAATAAGAAGTTGAATTTGTGTGTGTGCTAAGATTTAACAGGTAGTCTTTTTATCTAGTTCGTTGGCACAGAACGAAAATATTTAGTCTAACCGGTGTGACCGTGAAAGTAACTTTTAAACGAGATAAAACTAAATGGAGATGGTCAATAATTTTACTATCTTTCCAATATTCCATCTTATCGTTAGATCCAATATCGAATCCGTAGATCACGTTTATCTGTTGCATTCTATCTGTCTCCGATCTTAAACCCTTTCATTTTTCGTATATATATATATATATAAATGAATGTGTACATAGGAAACTAATTTCTTTCATATGATTTTATCTTGGATATTATTTAATAAAAAAAAAGATATTGATCGATTATG